GATATTTGCGGTATTTCCGGTATTCGGACATCTTCGGGTATTTTCGGTTATTTCCGGGTGTTTTCGCTACTTCGGGTATTTTCGGTTATTTCCGGGTGTTTTCGGTACTTCGGGTGTTTTCGCTTGTTTTCGGGGTTTTTTTCGGGTATTTTCGGGTATATTGGGTATTGCGGGTTTGGGGACATTTGGGATTTTGCGGAGTTTTTCGGGTATTTTGGGTTTGGAGTGCTTGGGACATTTTGGGACATTTTGGGATATTTTGGGATGTTTGAGGTTTGGGCACATTTTGGGCACATTTGGGGTAATTTTGGACACATTTTAGAGCCGTTTTGGGCACATTTTGGGGCCACGTTGGTGACATTTTGGGCACATTTTGGGCTTATTTTGGGCACATTTTGGGATAATTTTGGACACATTTTGGCCACATTTTGGGCACATTTTGAGACGCATTTTGGGCACATTTTGAGACCCATTTTTGGGCAATTTTCGGATAATTTTGGGCACATTTTGGGGTAATTTTGGTGCCATTTTGAGACCCATTTTGGGGTAATTTTAGGATAATTTTGGGCACATTTTGGGGTAATTTCGGTGCCATTTTGAGACCCATTTTGGGGTAATTTTGGGGACATTTTGGGCACATTTTGGGTTCACTTTGGTCCCATTTTGGTCCCATTTTGGGCACATTTTGGACACATTTTGGGCACATTTTGGGCACATTTTGGTCACATTTTGGGCACATTTTGGGATAATTTCGGTGCCATTTTGAGACCCATTTTGGGCACATTTTGGGCACATTTTGGGATAATTTTGGGGTAATCTCGGTACCATTTTGAGACCCATTTTGGGGATAATTTTGGGATAATTTCGGTCCCACTTTCGGGTGTTTTTGGGATAATTTCGGTGCCATTTTGGGACCCATTGTGGTGATATTTCTATGCTAATTTTATGCTAATTTTATGCTAATTTTATGCTAATTTTATGCTAATTTTATGCTAATTTGTGTCTCCTCAGCCCCTCCGCAGCTGCGCATCGTCCCCCAGGCCTCGGCTCTGCTCTGTCACGCCTGGGCCTTCGCCCCGGCCCAGCTCACCCTGGGCTGGCTCCAAAACGGGGACCCCCTGGGACMCCCCGAGAATTTTGGGGACATTTGGGGACCCCCCGGGGTTCAGTCCCCGTCGTTGCCGGTGGGTGACGGAACTTTCCGGACTCAGCTGAGCCTGGAGGTGCCCCCGGGCAGCAGCAGAGACACCTTTGGGTGCTGGGCCCGGCACCCCAGCCTGGAGGAGCCGCTCATCGTCACCTGGGGTAAGATTTCAAATATTTTGGGAATTTTGGGGAGTTTAAGGGAATTTTTTTGGGGGTTATTTTGATTTTTTGGGGAATTTTTTGGGGTTTTTTGGGGATTTTTTTTGAATTTTTTTGATTTTTTTTGGGATTTAATCGAATTTTTTTGGTATTTTTTGGGGTTTATTTTGATTTTTTTTGGATTTTTTGGGGTTTATTTTGATTTTTTTGGGGATTTTTTTTTGTTTTTTTGGGGGTTTATTTTGATTTTTTGGGGGATTTTTTTGATTTTTTCTGAGGATTTTTTGAGGATTTTCTTGAATATTTTCGATTCCAATAAAACCCCCCAAAAAATCCCCCCAAAAAATCCTAATAAACCCCCCAAAAATCCTTCAAAAAATTTTAAAAAAATTCCTAAAAAAATCCCCAAAACTTTTTTATTGTTTCTTTTTATAAGTCCCTAAAAATTCTTCAAAAATTCCTAAAAAAATTCCCAAAATTCCCAATTTTTTCTGTTTTTTTTAGCTCCGGGAATGTCGCGCGCGCTGTCGCTCCAGGTGGGCGTGGCCGCGCTCGCGCTGCTCTCGGGGCTCCTCCTCCTCCTCTTCGGCCTCCGTCGCTTCCTGGCCCCGCCCCCCGCGCCCGGTAAATCTTTTATAAATTATTTTAAAATATTTTAAAATAATTTTTAATAATTGTTAATAATTTTTAATATTTTTTTATAATTTTTTATATTTTTTAAATAATTTTAAATAATTTTAGAAATCATTTTCTATCATTTTTAAACCATTTTTTCTCATTTTTTCACCATTTTTTTCCAGGTTACGCCCCCCTGCCCGGCGACACCTACGCAGGTAAGGCCACGCCCCTTTTGTCCTCTCGCCCCGCCCCTTTTTGGGCAATTTTTGTCTTTTTTTGTCAATTTTT